ATGCCAAAATTAAATTCTGAAACTAATAAAATTATAAATAAAATATTCATAAACAGACAATTTAATATTAATTCTTGAAATATTTTAGAAAATTATATAAGGCATGGAAGTAAAAAATAAAATACTGAAACTAATTATGATAGGAGTAGCTTATAAATGTATGTTAGAATCATGGTAAATACAACGGATGATAATTGATATTTTAATAGAAATAATCTCAAAAAATTATCGATAGAAAATAACGGTGCATAAATAATATATAAGGCTTGGATTTTAATGAATTTGTATTTTTATTTTTTTTGGAATTTCTTACACGATGCTTTCCAATCTATAAAAGTGTTTCAAATACCTACTCGATATTGTAACTAATAAACGGTTTGCATTATTTGTATTGCGTATTACGTCAAAGGAACTGCAGAGGCGTTTCACATGTTACATTATATGAAAGATATTATTGATATATTTCATTGTATGGACAATATAAATACTAAAATAAAAATGCCTTAGGTGAAAATGTTATGTTAGGAACTAATTACGTGGTTAAGTGAGAAAATATGGTAATGACTATTTTTCTACGAATGGTCAGGTTTTATTTTGTAAAATAGGTGTGGTAAAAGTTATTGCTGACAAAAAGTTAACCTTCATTCAACATAGGTATATCACGAGACAAGTATAGACAAGGTTTACAATGATAAGCTGTAGGTGCAAAACATCAAAGTTTATTATCAGTAATAAAATCACCAATTCATAATCGAAGACTTACTAATGTATTTCTATCTACTAATATACCACTGGATAAATTGAATCAGTTAACTTTTCGCCAATTTATAGAAAAGTATAGCAGGTGGATCTATTACAAGAAAAAAAATACGTTTGTAAAATTTATAAAAATTAAGCAGTACATACAAAATAAAAATACAGTGGAACCTCGATAACTCGAACCTCTATAAGTCGAATTTTCAATATCTCGAAGGAATGCCTTAGCCCCTGGCTTCCGACATATGATATATGTGATAAATTTTCTCTATAATTCGAATTTCGCTAACTCGAATTTCTCGATAAGTCGAAGTAATTTTAGTTGAATTTTAGCTTATGACTCGAAGGTCAAATAACCAAGTACATATGTACGAGTATGTATGTATTATTATAAATAACGATAATCGTAATCGAAAACCGATTAATATTATCAATCTTATCATTACCTATACTACTTAAAAGGTACAGTTATAAATTCAACGATATATGTAATACGATATAATGTCTATATCTCCGATAAGTTACGTTTATCTACTTTATTAGTGTATTTATTACTGGTAAAATTATACGTCAATTGAAATACGAAATGTAAACGTCGGTATTTAATATAATGCTGACACAGCTAATATTCAGTTTATTTTGTCAAGACAAGATGGACAAATGCAGTTTAAAGTCTCTAACTATCTTTTTATTCTTTTATTCTACTTTATTTATTACATTATACTTTTTTAACATTTTAATACAATATACATACCTATATAGTACATACATTATTAATTTATTAGTAAATACATAAATAAATAAAATTATAAAATTAAAGTCTTTGTGTTAAATAAAAAATATTTTCGATAACTCGAATTTTTTGGCAGATTCGAGTTATCGAGGTTTTCCATAAATCGAATTTTCGATAACTCAAATTTTTTTTTCGCCCTTAACCGATTCGAGTTATCGAGGTTCCACTGTATTTAGATCTATATTAATAAAAGAACTGATGTAGGATGTTATGTAACAAACGTGACAGTTGGAACTTGGGGGGGGAGTTTGAAAAAATAAGAATAACTACCGTCAGGCCCGTATTTAAAAATTTGGCGCCCCCGGGCATTTATTTGATTAGCCCCCTTCCAAAAAAAAAAAAAAAAATACATAATTATATATAATACATATTATTTCGTCCATAATCAAGATTCTTTGATATTAAAATATAACTTATAAATGAAAATCGTTTAATACTTTTTTAATTAACAAATTAAACAAATTATAACATAATAAAACATAATATTTTCTTTTTTTTATTGTTTTATTTTTTTTCATTAGGTACATAATTTTTAAAATTAATTTTGCTAAAATATTTTACCGCCCCCAAACATGTGCCTACCCGTGTCCCCTCTAAATATGGGTCTGATTACCGTTATTTTGAAATAATTGACTATTGTCGATCGTTATCATATAACCATACAACACAAAAATTAAGAGAAACCCGTCAATTAAAATGTACCATTTTAAAAAATATTATATTGATTACGTATATTTACTTATTTTTACTTACTGATAATAAGCGACTAACAAACACGCATTATTTTTACGAAGTATTACTTTAAATAAATATATTTAAAATCTATAATAATAATAATAATAATAATAAACTATCAGCTTTAATTGTTTATTTTTAATGTATATAAAAATACCATACACAACACACGAATACTAGAATATCCAAAACAAAATTACTATTTTACGTTTAAGATCGGTCCTTTGTCTTTTTTTTGCTATTTGTATGAATAATTCACACAAAATACTCTTGAATGATTTATACTAACATCTTTATTAGGACGCATAAACTATTAAAAAAATATGTTGTAAAATTGAACATACACGTTTTAGATTCTAATTGTCGTGAAAAATATATGTATTAGTGTCACCATGATGTGTGTTTATTTTTGTTTTTTATATTCGTATACACAATTTTGACCAGAAAGCAAAAAATAAGTAGAATTCATCTTGCAGATAACCACCAAAATGCTAGTAGTAATTTTAGTAGAAATATTAGGCTTATGTACCAGAACCAAACACCCATTATTTGTCAAAATGTAGCAATTATAAAATTGTAAATTACTTAAATACCAAGTATTAGTAAACTAGTATTGTACATTTACATAAACACGACCCTAAAGGGGGAGGGAATATAAGCCCTTTAGCATTTAATACCAAAAGGCAAGTTATTATACATTATGTAGTCATTAATAAGTAAAAATATCTTTATAAATTCTCATATTTTATAGCCATGATCATCATGCAAACAATGAACAGTGTATATTAATAATAAAATAATAAAAAATGTAATTAAAATTAAAAATTAGTAAGTGGTTAGTATACGTAAATTAATGTATAAATAAATAAATGTTTGGCTTGGAATATTATTATATTTGTAAAATACGATCGGTTTGAATTTAAAGTCGTTATTGAATTTTTATACGCTTGACTAATCTTTAATTCAAAACTGGTCATAATTTACAAATATAATTATACTCCAGGCTAAGCATTTTTTTTTTTTTTATAAATTTAAGAATTTTCAGAAAAAACTATTATAGCTCAATAATTACACGTATACATATAGTTCACTACTAAATAACTTCCAGTTATAAATAATGATCAATTTTAATATTACAATAATTGATAAGAAAAAGAACCAATATTAATAAATATTACAATAGCTGGTATTATAAAGGTGAAATATAGATAAAGAAGGTAGATAATGGAATGAATCATTGTGGATATTAACAATTGGATATAGATAGAGATGAAAATAATTGTTCGAAAAATGTCGACAGTAAAGCTATTAACGGAGTAAAAATAGATTTTAAATCATTGACAATTTTCTTTATATCCTCGGGATTTCAGGGTCTAGGACATTTCGTAGCGACCGCTTCGCCGCAGACTACTTGTTGTCGGGTTATTCGCAAGATCCTCCACACTAAATAGTATTACCAATGATATTTTTTCAAACCTTACCGCCCAACTTTTTGCATGCGCTCATACCTGATTGACACTCTTTGAGTTGTGAAACATATATTTTGATGTGTTCCTTAATTTAAATCGACTACATTTTAAAAACCCCCATGGCCCCACAATAAAATTTGCAGCTTTAATTTCCGTTTGTCCATAAGTAGCTATGTGCTTGCATACTCCTCTGAGGCAGAAGACTTTTACAGAGAGCATAATATGAACAAAGTCCCGAAAACCAACACTTTTGGGAAAAAAAAAATTAACATTTTTTGCATATACGATCAACGTTTACGGGTTGATATAACATGACAAGAATTTGAGATTATTAAATGCTTTTCATTTTTAATAAACAAGTCATTATGAAATAATTTTTTTAATTTTCAATATAAAAAAAAAAAAATTTTGAAAAACCCATTATTTTCTAGTTACTAAAAATGGATATCCTTAGTAGATTTGTTAGGTTAGCTAGCTAACCTAACCTTTATTTGGTGACAATTATATAAACGATTTACAAATTGACTGTGGTATTATATACATCATTATAAGATACTTATATCACTGTATAATGATTATTAACTGTTTCAACATTTTATTTTTTCTTGATTATTATATTCCTTCCATTTGTGGGCAATTTAGTTTAACAGTTAAAAAAACGATTTTTGAACCATAAAAATACAATATCTGGCTTTTGTTTTCTAATTTCTAATGAAACTTATGATACCAAGTAATCAAAGATTTAAGTGAATTTTATCCACATGATATTGATCAAGACGTTTTTGAAGTAAAATTAAAGTTTTGGCGTTTAATTTAAAAAATAATAATGTTTTATTAGGTTATTAATGTGTAAAATATTTGTTTATTTATTTTTATATCAATATCTATTAATTGATTGGCAAAAACATCAAGATACTATTGAATTTGATCACAGGTGTAGGCTGATAAACAAACTATTTAAAATATATAAAAAACTTTTGAATTATATATACATTATAATATTACATCAAATTGGTTATATTCAAATGTAATAATAAATTGACACAAATATTGATATAAAGTTGATTAGATGATTGTTTTAATGATAATACCACCTAATAAAGTTTTGTATTATGTTACAGTATGTCTATATAACGAGTAAATGTTTTCTAAATAGGCTGACCAAACCCTAGAGTTTAAATTATTATAATCTCTTAACAATCCTTAATTGGACGGGACTGTTCAGGACGGTGAGTGTACAGTATACAAAACGCATTGGCATATGTTCTCATGTTCTTGTCGTGTAACGATTGTGCGGGTTAGACGTTATAAGTACTAGTTTCGATACTTTAATTTCGCCATCGTTTCTCGTTAAATAATTAGAGTTTTCATAACCGTCAACTGATTTTATTTCCTTTAAATGTGATTTTATTTTACTTGGTTTTGTACTTTTTTTTTTAGTTTAATATTTTTTAATTAAACCTCAAAATGTACAGACTACTGGTATTGTGTTTGTGTTACGGTTTCCTGGACCACGCAGCGTCTACAGAAGATATAACGGCTGCATTGTATGAACACTGTGGCGATTTAAAACCCCAAGAAAGCATTCAAATTAAATTAGTATGTATTAAATTACTTACTCTTAATAATCATTACTTAATAATTAATTATTGTATTGACATGACACAGTGCTAGGTAAAACAAAGCCATCTTGATATAGAATATTTCAACTAAAAAAAAAATAATAATAATACAACTTATTGCGTAATTTAATTTTTACATATTTTAAGTATATTATTTAAACCTTAATATAACGACACAAAACAAAATATAACAGGAATAAAAAAAAGAAGTAAGAATAACTTAAAATACTGTTTTATAGCCTAGTTATATATCTTCTTAAGTATTTCATATTTATGCCATAAACAATAGGAATGTTTGTAATACACGTTAGTAAGGTTGAATTGTAAAGAGTATACAATTTCAAATATGATCTTGTGTAATTAAGTGTTCTTGCGATAATAGGTGATAAATTTGAAATGCTTAATCAAAAGTGTTTCAGAAATTGTATCCCTATAATACTACAATAGTAGTTTTTTACTTATTTTATTAAAAAGGAGAGGGTGGTAAAGTGAATTCCCATAACACGAAGTACTGTTAGACTTAATTTGAAAAATATAGATAAAAAACCTAGACTTAAAGTTTCTATCGGAGCATGACTACACAATGAACCGTGATGGTGTAAGATTTAAAAATATAAGTACTAGCTATCAATATCAACCAGCTATCAACATCGATATTTACTACAAAATAAAACGTATAAACCAACTAGACAATATTTCTACTAACGTATTTTTGTGAATGAAATCCTCCACTATCACATCACACCATTAACACGATTTTTAATACGCTTTACCTTATCGATATCAGCAGCGGCAGATTGGCCCATGGGTTAGGTTAGGTTATTATAACACTGGGCCGATGTACTTGGATTAAAAATTATTTTATAAAAATAATGTATTTAAGTGTATTGTATTTAATTGTAATATTTTGATAAAAACCTAGTGTAAACGTGATGTAAACAATTCTACGAGCATTTAATTCATGAATAAAAGAGACTTTTATGAAAAATGATTATTATTGGATGATGGGCCGGTCGTAAGGTAATTTTCCCGAACGAAATTTTTAGCCAATCCACCCCGCTGGATACCAGAATCGAGAGCCTGTGAAAATATTAAATCACATGCGTGATCATAATTTTGTCTCTAGGCTTACCAATTTATCAAAGTAAAATGCACGAATGTTAAAAACAGTGACGGATTTAGCGTTTTGGTGCCCCTAGGCTAAATCACTCTGCCTCCCCTCCCCTATCACTCTACTGAAACCAACAATATTTGGTCTAAACCCTTCTCTTCAAATTTTATTCAGTTTTTTTACTATTAAAATATTAAATCTTTAATATAGAAAACTTCTAAAAATAAAATATTTCATGTCTATTATTTTACTTCAGATTCCATTATTACCAGTACAAATAAAAAATGCTTATACAGTCACATAAGGGAAATATAAATAGCCAGATATGAAAATACTCGGATAGTCGGATGTTCCCAATAAGTACATAGGTACTAATAAGTTATTAATAATAACTAGTAACTAACTATAATTATTTTATTACAAATGAAACATTTTCAAATTGTAATAATAATTGTAATATTCTTAGTATAGCTCATAGGTACGCATCATACAATATACATATTAATATATTATTATAACTTTTTAAAATAATTTTTATTCATGTTTATATGACAAATATAAAAAAAATATATTAAAATAAATATACCTAATAAGTCAATAATAACACTTAATTCTATAAAAAAAAAAGCCGCCCTAGGCTATAAACTTTTTAGCCTGCCCCCTAATCCGCCACTGGTTGAAAGTAATATTTTTTTAATTGTTAAGTTTCAATAATTTTAATTTTTTTACTACAGTTACATAATAAATTTTACCAACATGTGTCACATATACGTACACCATGCCATCGATAAAATGGTCTCAGTGTTATGTATTAACACGATGTCATACTGTAGCATACATATTACAATAATGATTTTAATGAATTGATATTTCAATATCAGAAATATATTTTCGTAATGGTGGAAGGGGTCATGCCGAGTTAATTTGGTGGCTGTGCTTTACGCATGATCGTCGGTGGTTTTACTTTCCGGGCTGGACTACCGTCCTGTTAGTAGAAACTATTTAGATGTCACAAATGTTAAACAAATGACCTAAACGTCGATAGAGTGAATATAGCAGTAAGACGCAATTTAATATCATAGTAATTATAACTTGAGTTCCGTTAACGATTATTAACTTAAAGTGGTTACAATTAGTATAATTCTAAGTACCCAGTACAATAACTATAATCGTTACATAACAGAAAAAACATCTGTTTAATATAATATTTTTAAATTATTAAATAAATAAATACATATAAAATAGATGTATGCAATATGTATCTATATTTGTAGTTGTTTTCTAAGAAAATTACATGAAAATATTCAACTTTTTTTTATTATGTTATTTGTAGTTCTACAGATATTAAATTCGTGAATGTGGTGTCATAAAAAAGTATTGAAGTATAAAATTTGCATGTGCGCGCTATAATGCTCGACTAAATTTAAATTCTAGAGATGATGTGAGTTATAAAAAAATACTATATTCGACGCTTTTAGTCGTACCCATAGTGAATAACAAACCAAAAATAATTTCAGTCATGATTCATCATAGTCTATGAACAAATCCAGCTGTCTGACCAATCGATGTAAGAGTATTGTATTATTGTATTATACATTGATAAATATTAAAGCTTTATGTAAAAATTAATTTTACATCATTATACTATACACATAAACAGCGCTTATTATGTAGGTAACCCCGACACAAAGTGTGTAGTCTGAAATTAGAAGTGTGCTCTACGGATTCGAGAAGTGTATACCTACTAAATACGAATAAATAAGAATACTATGAAAGTGTTTTTTCAAGAAAACAGTTGATGAGGACTTAAATATATCTATTACATTTTAAAATATTTATCCCACATTAAAATAAATAATTTGTAAATAGTTATCAGATTTATACATAAGTAAATAAGACATAAGTATATTTTTAGTTTAAAAAATAATAACAGATTAGTAGTTACATAATTATAATTTCAAATTTGATTAATAAAAAAAGAACTATTACTAAAAATTGTAATCATACGGGATCGAGGTAGAGAGGAGCTCTATATCATATCATTGTACATTAAAAAATGTGTAGTACGAATTTTTATGAAAAATAGAGGCTGAAAATTAATACATTACTGAATACTAAAATTATAAGCAAAGGTAAACTTATAAATAATAATAATAATTATTACGTATTTCATTTTTCCTATGTAGGATATCAAAAATATTAAAAATATTAAAAATAACAATTTCAAACTGACTGAATCGAAATCACGAAGTATAATATCATGTTTTTCTTTTTCAGATAACTGGAGTTTGGTATGTAATAGAAAGACTTCAACATAAAACGGACGAAAAGCTATATCACGGAGAGAAATTAGAAGACCCTTCTTGCCCTTATATATACTTGACTTATTTTGAAAATGACTCGGTCCTAAAATTATACTGGGAAGAATCTGATGGCAATATTGAATACCGACTTAAAATAAACGATAAATCCTATCCTGGTTTATGGATGTCGTCTGGAGGGCAAAATGGTAAGATTATAGAAAAAAACCAATTAATTTATATTCTTTAGTGTAATACATGTTTACGTTTATATCAACCAATTGCATTTAAGCACATGACGTAGTTTCACGATAATTCAACAAATTTAAGAATAAGAATGTTAGATCGATAGAAATAGCATGAATACATAGATTATTAATGTGTATGAAATTGTGTTTTCATTTTATTTATACAATATAAAAACTGTGTATAACATACGTAAATACATAAATGCGCTAAATTCGAACTCGGCTGATTTCATACATTTTATTTACAAACTTAAATTACCTAATAAAAATAAATCCAGACGGCATCAAATCTAAGGTACGGGGGTTTTTGGTCGCCGTAAGAATTTTGGCGGTGTGCCGGGAGTCGGAATCGAAGATCACGCTGGTCGTAGTCAATTACATGATCACTACATCACTCCGATCCCTAGAAAATAATTGATAATGGTTGATTTTACTTATTGTTAAAGTTCAACCCAAGTACTTCAATAGTATCAATGAATCTTTTCCAAAATCATTAATCATAACACACGAACGCTTAGATATCCACCATGAACATACTGTGATTTAATAACCGTAATTTCAACTACCTATTCGATCGTTTTACAGGTTCGCTATTACAGTTGACCAGATACAGCCAGTTCGCTGGAACGGTGTACGTCATGGAGGCGGTCAGCGACCACATGGTTTTGACGTTTTGTTCGCCCAACGCGCAACTTTATAGCCTAATACTGGCTAGGCAAATGATGTTGGACGTGAAAGACCTGAAAAGTATAACAAATCACATAAACCGACTTAAGCTACCCATCACGCAAACGAGACGCACGTGCCGCAACTCGTCGCCAATCACACAGGCCATCACGCTGTGGCTGATCACAACACTCAGTTTGGCGCACGTGTTCCTGCGTATCACGCAGTAGACACATGCCCGAAAATCACGTTACGCCATTCAAAATATTGCCCTCTTTTTGGGAAGTAAAAAAAAAAACATCATCATCAACAACAATAAACACAATAAGACGATAGGAAAAGAGACCCTTCTCCCAACATTGTTCCCGACTGACGCTGCACACCGATGACAACTCGAGGAAAGGCCACACCATACTGCCACATCACGCTCAATATTCGAATTGTGCAATACCATCTAAATCTATCCATTCCGTTCGATTTGTACTTTTGCTTAACTCTTCGGATCTCTCTAGCATGTAGTGATTTATTTTTATTTTTTATTAAACCATAGGTAATATTACTATTACTCATATTAACTAACGTTTCATTACTACATACTACACACTATACAGTGTTGGGTTACTTTATTTATGTAATTTATTTTCTTTAATATCAAACTGTATTTTTACAGCGATATAATAAATATTTTATACAACTATTTGTAATTAAAGGAAAATAGTTTTTGTAAGACGGTTTAGTAGTAATATTGAAATATTAACACAACATTATATTCTGCAGTTATCCAATCAGCTACAATAGCTTCCCGCTAATTTGCATACATTATTCTTAATACCATATATGTATAAATAACTAAGCACAATCTATTTATAATGTATATTAATTCCATAACTTAATGTGTTTAACAAATAAAAAATGTATTTAAACTTTATAATAATAATCATTGTATAAAACTTAGCCAATCTTGTCACTATGCCACTTATAATTTCGAATTTATATTTATCCTTTGATTATATTTTTTTAAATATTTTTTTTTATTTTTTTTTAATGTGTACAGTGACTTACAGAACTTCTACCATCTTATAATTAAAATCTTTTACAATGAAAAATATATTTATATATTATTGGATTGCTCAAACTAACATTATTACACAATATATGATTGGAATAAGAAGTATATAAAATGAACGTCCAATACCCATTATAATAAATATTATAATACCACATGAAAAACAATATTTTACTTTTATTGCAATTTATCTCATGAAATAGTAATTGTACCCCGAGTAGGGTAGTTGAAATTTATAAATAAATTACATAAGTTATGGAATTTAAATATTCCAATAGTAATATTTATATCAAACTATATTATGATAATTATCGAGTTAGCCATGCGCGTTTAGATGGCCATGAATACATTAATACATATGTATCGTCATGTCGACTATATTTTATGGAGGATAAACAGTTCAGTTAAATGTTTGACCAATTATGAAAAACATGTAAAATAAATCCCACAACAAACCAAAAATACTAACCCAATATAGTTGTATCCATAAATAGAGGTTCTTGATTTTTTCAACTTGTAAAAAAGGGTTATTGATTTGAAATTTGAAACAAATATGATATAACGAATAATACATATCTGCAGATTCTATAAGATACAAGACAGCCACGGAAGTCATTACTTGACACGAATTTCTTTATGTATAATATTTTCACAAGATTATATGCAGTGGCGGACTGGCCCAGGTGGAGAGTGGGAGAAATCCACCGGGGCCACTGTCGTGAGAGGCCCCTTCGTCATGGTGTACTTTTAATAAAAATATATTATATTATAATTTTATATTCAATTATGCTATAGTTACTAAATTAACAATAATAGATAATAACACATAAATACACATTCCTGGAGCACGAATTTTTTTATATAATATTATTGTTTACTTTTAATATCGTAGATATATCTACATTTTGCTAATAAACCTAGTAATCTATAGCAAGTATAGATCTTGATCTATTAAAACTATAACTTCAACATTTTTCAAAAGTCTACTCAAACATATCTAATTTAGTAAAGGAAAGAACAAAATTAATATACTCAGAGTCTGAAACCGAAGAGAAAAGTGATGAGGAAATCAAATTAGAAAACAAAGAAATTGATGGGATCTATAAAAATATGATTCCTAGTAAGATTGATAGTGTAAATATTCGTTTTATTTACAATGTTTATTTAATCATGATCAATAATATTGTTGTTTATGGTTTCAGGTAATGCATTTTACAGTAACCATGACAAAAAAAATTGCTTGCATAGTGTCTAAGTTTGATATATAATTTAAATTTACATATGTTTGCTTATACTACACTTTGCAAAGCGTATGCATTTTTTTTAACTTTATCAGTTATAGAAGTTATCTGTGAACGTACATTTAATAAGCTGAAACTCATTAAAACTAGATTAAGATCCAATTTAAATGAAGAAAATTTGGAGTCTCTACTCTTAATGTCAGTAAAAAAAGAGCTGTTGGATGAAATAGACATGTCGAAAGTCGTTAACTATTTAAAAGAATCATCCACCGTTATACATCAAATGTTGAATTTATAAATTTAAATTTAAATAATAAGCATTTGATATTTCATTCATTCATTTGTTACCTATTATACTTGTATTATTATTATAAAATATTTATGCGAAAATAAGGAATTCACTATTTTGTAGTAATAATGTATCTGATGAATTTTTGTGCTGCAATTATATTTAACGTAAAAAAAGACTAAATCTAGCCATCTAGGGTCATTATAAATGTACGAGAGGCTGTTAAATTTACCAATCACAAACCCGGATTAAGGAGGGGGTACAAGGGGCCATGATCCCGGGCCCATAACGAATATCAAACAATAGTAGGCCCCTGGTGAATAGTAGGTTTTTTCGTTTTTTTTAATTCTTTTTTTTAGCTCGTATAAAAAACAAGTATAAAATAGTAAATAGTTAAATGGTTTTGTGTTCAGAGAGTAATGTTTTAAAGGTAATTATTAACGATGATATAATTAAAGGGTTTGCTTCCCAAAAAGAAAGAAAAAAATATTTATATAAATAACATTTTTATTTTTTGTATTAAAAAAAGCAAGGAATAAATTTATAAATTAGAATATAATTTTTTTTTTTGTCTCTGAAATATATTTATGTATAGGTCATCAATATTTTGATTATGATTATGGGCCTCTAAAATTGTTTGGCCCCGGGCTCCAAATTATCACGATCCGGACTTAGCCAATCATAAGCGACATAGGCGCAAATCCACTTAGTAATCTGGGGGTGCTTAAGTTCCTCCAAAATTAACTTATCACTAACCCGTAGGGGGCTTTGACATTCACACTCCCATAAATCTCAAATACTCTACCAAATCTTAAATAAATAAATAAATATTAAAATAAACAGAAACAAATTCATGAAAATAAAAATTTACTAATAAAATAATAATAGGAACATAATATAATCAAGAATTTTATTATATAATAGTAGGTCGAAATAGCACAAATACACAATGATCACTAGTATATCATTAGTTATCTGAAAAATAAGTACCTAATAAATTGTTGTCACAGTAATATCTAAATATAGACATAAAAGATTTTAAGTAAACGATATAATATAATATTATGAATGATGATAAGTATTATTTATTTCTAGAATATATTGGCGGTGCTAAACACCCTTTTAGGAGATTTCAGCCTATGATAAGCGAGTACAGTGAGCTGCAAATTTTTTGATCATAGAAAAAAAAAATGTAAGCCACTCAAATCTTCTCTAACCGGGCCGAAGTACTTTCAGTTTGCCCCTGATTATATGAAATGCAGATAGATAAAGAAAAAATTACAATATAATATAATATAATATAAAGAGTAAGTAAATAAAACCAATTAATTTTTCATAAATACCAAAGTTCATTCTATTCCTGTCGAGTATACAGCTACAGAAACATTCTAAGAAAAGTATCTACATTAAAATTATACAAGTATAATTTTAAATCTCGAATCATAGTGGAAGTAAAAAAATTAAATTATACATATTTATTCCATAGATATTAATAACAGAGATGGATCCAAAACTTGATTTAGAGCGAACAATTATCTTCCATAATCTTGAATTCTAATATATAAAAATTTGTATTTCATCAATAATGCTTCTAAGTAAATAAACGGGATTACTTGTCACAAAAATAACAAAATGGTGAATAGTTGGAAAACATCAAAGGAAAAAAAATATAATAATAAATATATAGATACTAAAATTCAACTAAATTATATGAATAAATTGATCAGCAACTAATCAAATGTATCAATGAGAATTATTCGATAAATAAAATAAAATTCGTTAAAATATGAGATCAAAAATAAATTCGAAATATCTATATCAATAAAATCAATAAATTATGACTACATCTAGGACACACAAATTAAATATTTTTCTATCTAATTTTGTTGCTTACTCAGTATACCTCAGGTAAACCTAGTAGATGTCCATATTATATAATGTTCTAATAAATTTAGTAAGTAGAACGTAGAAGTGTCTATAATATATACACACATACATACACACACACACACACACACACACACACACACACACACACACACACATATACATATATATAACGACAAGCCATCGAAAAATCAAAACAATTTTTTTCAAATAGTATTTTAAATAAAAAACAATATTTCTAAAAAAAAAAAAAAATACTAAATTGTAAACATAAAATCGAATTAAATTGTGAATCATCAGTGTTTTTGAAGAAAAATGATTACACTATTTTTATTTACAAATCAATGTTATGTGTTGATTTGAGACGCACTACTAACCTGAAGTGCACGGAAAGAAAATGTCATAATGTTTTACGTCGTTTCCGGAAAGTATCAAACCTAATGCTAATAGTGTAAAACTAATGTATATATTTATCTTATCAGCAGCAACCCAAATGTACAACAGACATACAAATTTCTCAATATAATTTGTCAAGCTATAAAGGTAAATGGTTATACATTTTCGTAAATAATAAATAAAAAGTCACGGCTTAATATTTATAATATAAGAACTCTATCTAAAAATTTTTTCAAATCTCTCTTAGTACACAATCATCAATAATACAATAGGTATACGTCGTGCACACAAACAAATTGAACTTTGTACGACTAATATTATCTGCACATGACTAATAAATGTTTTATAAATAGGCAGACCGAGCCCTTCAGTTTAAATTATCATAATCTCTTAACAATCCTTAATTGGACGGGGCCGTCCACACGAAAACAAGCGCGCCGCAAACTCAGTGCACATTGGCATAAGATCCCTTACACGTTCTCATCGTGTCGCGATCGCACGTTCAACTTAACATTTTATAATAAAATTAAAATACTTGTCTTAGTAATTTGATGTCCATTATAGTGTTAATTTAAAATTATAGTTTACGGAACACCAATAATTTTTGTTCCATTTTAATGTGATTTAAATTTTTTCGATTTTGTTATTATAACTTTACTAATTACGTGCAAATATGTACCGACTGTTGATATTGTGTTTGTGCTGCGGTTTCCTGAATCATGCATCATCGTCACCTACAGAGGATACAACTCCATTGATGTACGAAAACTGTGATAATTTGCAACCCAAGGATAATATTAAGATTCAAAAGGTATGTGCTTGTATTATTTATACAAAAAATGTTGGATTATATTGAATTTTTTTGAAATACATCAGTAAATTAGGAATACATTAATTGAAAACTGAATAATATTTAATAAAGTGGAAAGCACTAAATATCTATTCTACTAAAATATAATGTTTCAAAATGTTATTCAAACATACTTAATCTATAAACATAATATGATTATATATGCCCTTTAAATATATTTCATAAAAAGACAGTGATATGAGTAAATCAAATATTTATTTACCGCTGATTGATGTAGAATTTACTATATGTCAACTAAATTTATCTTTACATATTATAACTATCAAAACTGTATGTATCATCAATTTTTTTATAAAAGAAAAATGTATAACAATATATTTAAACGAAAATAATCTAAAATTAGATTCTAGTACTTAATTAAAATGCAAATGATAAACTTCTTATCTAAAAGTAAATTGACAATTATAATAGCATGTATACTAGTTTAAATTGTCTAAATATGTAAGGAAAAATGGAATTTTTGTGAAATATATAAAACATGTGTTTATGATCAAATATTTCAAAGGCAAAACAAAATGTATAAAAAAAAAATGTATGAAAATATGTCAAATTGAATATAGCTCATTTGGTAAAAATTACTTGTTTAAATTAATTAATCAAGTCACAATAAAAATATGTATTTATTATAAATCCAAGCCCTACATACGACATACCTGTATATTTTTAGCAACACAGATCACAATGCAGCCTGTGTTAAGTATATAGTATACGCAAAATTATTTTTATCAATTAAAATTGTTAAAGCTATACATTTAACTGTCGTGCATAAAAAATAATGAAAGGAAAAATATGATTCATAAATGTTATATTCCAATAATTTGGATAAAATTATACAACCTATAAACTCTAAAATTTGTATGTGTTTTTTCATTTATCTTTGCGTATACCATGTTTAATTTTTTTTTTTCTTTAATATTGATATTTTTATATTTGGTTATTGAATTTAATTATTATCATTATCATATAATAATTAAATTCAATAAGTTAACAATTATCAATTAATTAACTTAAGTTAATTATTTGTACAATATTGTTTTCTAATTCTAATAGTTCAAAAAATTATACTTTAAAATAAATTACCGTTAGTAATATAATTTAGAACAAACATCTTCTAATTCATTGATACGAGTACTTTAGAAATTCAAAGTGAAACAAATGAAAAACTTTGAAACACTGAAAAAAGTAAAATAAAAACTAACACATTTAAAAATATACTAAACAAACAATTAATATGATTTTCATTACCTCATATAATATATTATATTGTATACTATATGAATGAAAAATGATAGCATAAAAATTTGCATTGAACACAATCAATGTCATACTTGAATAAAAAAAGATTTTTTTTTAAATCTACTCACATAACAGATTAGCGAAAAGTATTGTATTAAATATATTACTTAGAATTAATTAGTGCGAATAAACCACAACATTTAAAATAACTTAATTTTTAATATATTTTCACAGATTACTGGTGAATGGTATGTAATCAAAGTTTTTCAACACCAAACAGACAAAAGACTATACCACGGAGAAAACTACGAAGTGTCTACATGCCCTACTATACGTATAACGTATGTGAGATATGATTCAGAATTAAGATTATACTGGGAAGAATCTATAGGCAATATTGAATATCGGTTTAAAGTTAACGAAAAATCGAATCCTGGCTCGTGGATGTCGTCTGGAGCGCAAAATGGTAAATAATATAAAAAAAAGTATAAGACGGTATACATTCCCTGACTATTAAGCTAAGCCACGGTGGAGTGTATATCAATTGTGAGTGAAGTAGGCAGATTTAAGAATATGGCATAAGCTTTAAAAAAAAAACAGATAATGTTACTATAAAAATAGACTGATTATTTATAAATTATATTACATAATAACTTCAAAAGAAGCTATAGTGATTTCAGCATACGTCCAGGTCTCTGCACCCCATGATTATCAATAATAACGTGATTCTTCAAACAAGTTACACGTGGCCTCGGGGTCTATCTTGACAACAAACTCCATGAAATCATCATATAAAAATAAAATCAAAATTCCTCAATATAAAACTTCACAAAAGTAGACACCTTCCCAAATCAAATCTCTTATTTAATAACAAACTCCTAATAAATAAACAAATTATCCAAATTTTAATTCTTTGATTACTTTGCCTTCGGCTCATTACCAATACCCCCTGGTACATCAGCAATCTCACACTTCACACAAACCTCAAAATTTCAAATATTCACACGTTTTCTTCTCACTACTGTAAACTATTTCATAAAAACACGTACAATTATTCCAATCCTTCAATTTTCAACATTTCCTCCATCACACTTCCTGATAACCCTCTGCGCCGTCTTAATCATAATTGGCCCAGGGACTTCCTACACCTTTAAAAAAAAAAAAATTTAGAATTGTAAAGTAGTGTTGTTTGGACATCCCCTTCGATCAAGCCTTCTAGTCTTGTAATCAAATTACCATATTACCTAATGTATACATTTAATATAGATAATAAATATTCTCGTTAAAAAAAAAGGATTTCTGCAGACATTTTCAACAAAATTTATCATAATGATCAATGATTATGTTTATAAAAATAATGTAGGTATACGATATAAACTAGTATTTTATTTGGGTTTTTTCTTTACATTTCTTTTACATTTTCTTTACATTTTTTTTTTAATTGTAGTTATTTATACAAAACTTTATTACAGTCAGAGTAGTCTTTACTTTAAAAACTTAAAAACTTAAGGACATATAGGTAATTTTCATATCATGAAACTATCTGATATGTAGTAATATCTAATATTGTTTACACTAATTATTAGAATAATATATTGATTATATTTATACATGTTAAATTGGTTAATTGTAGAATAGTGATTCGCAAGAGTGTATAAATAATAATATATAAATAATTTTCACAAATCATAACTATATAATTAATTAATGTAGCCCAGAGCCCGAGTCTGGTGGATAGGAGTCACGATGGCCTCTATACTCACTCGTTGATATACATTTTTACAGTCTACACATCAATGATTACGAAAAAAACAAACTTTCTTTTCTAAAATCTATTTAAAAAGTTGTCCATTGCATTAATCGCGAGCCCTGCTCACTAAACGCCGCTATCACGATAGCAACCGAATACCTACCTACATTTTAATCACATTATTTATTTATTTCAACTATTTAAAAACATATTACATACGGTACTCGCATGTACTACATAAAACCAATTATATATATATTAATTATAAATTATTATTTTATTTAATTTTACTCCAAAAAACAACTTTATTAAGCACATTTTTCAGTGTAGGTACCAATTTCATTGAAATGTTGTCTTTTTAAGTATTGAATTATAATAAACACAAATAATATAAATAAATTAATAAATCAATAGAAGTGTCCAATAGGTTACTGACGAATCTGTGCTATGTTCACCATTACATACATTACCTTTGATCGATTTACAGGTTCGCTATTGCAGTTAACGAGTTACAGCCAGTTCGCAGGTACGGTGTATGTCATGGAGGCGGTAAACGACTATATGGTGTTGACGTTCTGTTCGCCTAATACGCAATTTTACAGTATGATACTGGCCAGGAAGATGGTTATGGACACCAAAGACTTGAGGAGCATTACAAATAACATTACCGAGCTTAAGCTACCTATCACGCAAACGAAACGCACGTGTCGGAGCTCATCGTCCATCATGCAGAACTCGATGTGGCTCGTAGCAACGTTCTGTTTATCGCATATATATCTCCGTGCGGCCATATTTTAATAGAATGAAATAAAAATTGGAAAAAGCCTATGCGTCCCAATATTGCTCTCGTCGAATGCTCAATAATTTCACCATGTAAATTGTAACTTTAAAACTTTTCATAATACTCATATATATATATATATATGTATATATTTGAACAAATCAAAATACATTATGGTTTTATAAATACAAAAAAGGACAAAATTCATTATACGAGGCCACAGTCTTGTTACTTAATTATAACTTAGGATTTAAATTCTAAGATCCATTGTATTTTCTGTACATACATATACATTTAGGTACTAGCAATAATAATAGTAATAATAATAATAATAATAATAATAATAATAATAATAATAATAATA